TGTGGGGTTCAAGACCCACGTCAGGCTCTGTGCTGATGGCTCAGAGTCTGGAACCTGATTCGGATTCTGTGTCTCCCTCTCTCTCTGCCTCTCTCTCTCTTAAAAAATAAACATTAAAATAATAATAATAATAATAATAATAATAATAATAATAATAATAACGGTCATAAAGATGATCACCAAGCTCAGAAGAGATGAATGGATGAACAGAGTGGAAATTTCAACAGAGAAATAGAAAATATAAACAATTACAGAGTAAAAGTCACAGAGCTTAAGAATACAATAACTGGGGGCATCTGTGTGACTCAGTCGGTTGAGCATCCGACTTTGGCTCAAATCATGATCTCGAGGTTCGTGAGTTCAAGCCCCACATTGGGCTTGCTGCTGTCGGCCTGCCAGCGCAGAACCCACTTCAGATCCTCTCTTCCCTCTCTCTGCCCCTCCCCCACTTGTGCTCTCCCAAAAAATAAATAAATATTTGTTAAAAAAAATAATACCTAATAACTGAATTGAAAAGTACAATGGGTGGGGGGTTGACAGCAGACTAGATGCAGCAGAAGAAAGCATCGGTGACCACAAAGGGCAGTGGAACTCACCCAATCAGAGCAGCAAAAAACAAAAAACAAACAAACAAACAAAAAGAATGATAAAAAGAGCAGAAAACTTAAGGGACTTATAGGATAATATCGAGTGAACCAACATTCACATTATAGGGGTCTCAGAAGGAGAAGAGACAGAAAAAGGGGCAGAAAACTTATTTGAAGAAATCATGACTGAATATTCCCCTAACCTTGGGAAGGAAACAGACAAGCAGATCCAGGAAGCCCAGGGAGTTCCAAAAAACATGAACCCAAAAAGACCCACCCAGGCACATTATAATTAAAGTTTCAAATTTTTTTTTAATTTTTTTTTCAACGTTTATTTATTTTTGGGACAGAGAGAGACAGAGCATGAACGGGGGAGGAGCAGAGAGAGAGGGAGACACAGAATCAGAAACAAGCTCCAGGCTCTGAGCCATCAGCCCAGAGCCTGATGCGGGGCTCGAACTCACAGACCGCGAGATCGTGACCTGGCTGAAGTCAGACGCTTAACCGACTGCGCCACCCAGGCGCCCCTAAAGTTTCAAATTTTAAAGACAAGATGAGAATCTTAAAAGAAGCAAAAGAAAAACAACTTGTTACATACAAGGACTCACCATATGACAAAATGAGCAGATTTTTTCTTTTTCTTTTTTTCTTTTTTTTAATTTTTTTCAACGTTTTTTATTTATTTTTGGGACAGAGAGAGACAGAGCATGAACGGGGGAGGGGCAGAGAGAGAGGGAGACACAGTATCGGAAACAGGCTCCAGGCTCCGAGCCATCAGCCCAGAGCCTGACGCGGGGCTCGAACTCACGGACCGCGAGATCGTGACCTGGCTGAAGTCGGACGCTTAACCGACTGCGCCACCCAGGCGCCCCTGAGCAGATTTTTTCAACAGAAACTTTACAAGCCAGAACAAAGTGGCACAATATATGTAAAGCGCTGAAAGAAAAACTGCCAATCAAGACCACTCTACCTGGCAAAACTGTTCTTCAGACTTGATGGAAACATAAAGAGTTTTCTAGATAAGCAAAAGCTAAAGGAATTCAACGCAAGTAGACCAGCCTTACAAGAAATGTTAAAGGGACTTCTTTAAGATGAAATGAAAGGGAACTAATTAGTAACAGGAAAACATGAAGGTATAAATTTCACTGGTAAAAGTATACAGTAAAATTCAGAATAATTTAATGTTGTAAAGGTGATAGGTTAATTACTTATAAAGCTAGTATGAAGGTTAAAAAACAAAAGTAGCAAAATAACTTATGACTATATTATGAGGCCAGCATTACCCTGATACCAAATCAGACAAGCATATCATAAGAAAAGAAAATTACAGGCCAATATCCTTAATGAACATAGATGCAAAACCCCTCAATAAATTATTAGCAAGCCAAATTTCAGCAACACATTAAAACTATCATACACCATGATCAAGAGGGATTTATTCCAGGGATGCAGGATGGTTGAACGTCTGCAAATCAGACGTCATGTGACTCAATAAAAGATAAAAATCATACAGTCATCTCAATAGATGCAGAAAAAGCATTTGACAAAATTCAACATCCATTTATAATATAAACTCTCAACAAAATGGCTATAGAGGGAACATACCTCAACACAATAAAGACCACATATGACAAGTCCACAGCTAACATCATGCTCAATGGAGAAGAGCTGAACTCTTTTCCTCTAAGATCAGGAAAAGGACAAAGATGCCCACTCCCACCACCTTTATTTCAACAAAGTATGAGAAATCCTAGCCAGAGCAATTAGGCAAGAAAAAGAAATTAAAGGCATCCATGTGAGAAAAGAAGGAGAAAAACTGTCACTATTGGCACAGGATATATTGTCACACAAAAGACCCTAAAGACTCTACCAAAAAACTGGTAAAACTAGTAAGTGATTCAGTGAAGTTGCAGGGCACAAAGTCAATACACAAAACTCGGTTGTGTTTCTAAACATGAATAATGAACTATAGAGAAATGAAGAAAACAATCCCATTTACAACTTCACCTAAAAGAATAAAATAGCTAGGAATAAATTTAACCAAGGAGGTGACCTATACTTTCATGACCCATACTGAAAGTATAAGATATTGATGCTAGAAATTGAAGGTGACACAAATAACGGAAAGATATTTCATGCTCACGCATCAGAAGAATTAGTATTGTTAAAATGGACATACTACCCAAAGCAGTCTATAGATTCAGTGCAGTCCCTATCAAAATTCCAATGGAATTTTTCATAGAAATAGAACAACCAGCCCTAAAAGCTGAATAGAACCACAAAAGATCCCAAATAGCCAAAGGAACTTTGAGAAAGAACAAAGCTATAGGCCTGGTGCTTCCTTTTCTCAAATTACATTACAAAGCTATAGTAATCAAAACAGTATGGTCTGAGCCTAAATCCAGACCCACAGAACAATAGAAGAGAGAGCCCAGAAATAACACTCACAGATATATAGTCAATTCATTAATGACAAAGAAGCCAAGAATATACAATAGGGGAAGGACAGTCTCTTCAATAAATGGTGTTGGGAAAATTGAACAGTCACAAAAGAATTCGCAAAAGAATGAACTATACCACTACCTCACACTGCACACAAAAATTCACTCAAAGTTAAAGACTTGAACATAAGATCTGACAACATAAACTCCTAGAAGAAAACATAGGCAGTAAGCTCCCTGACATCAATCTGGGCAGTGATTTTTTGGATTTGACACCAAAAGCAAAGGAAACAAAAGCAAAAACTAACAAATGGGACTACACTAAACCAAAAAGCTTCTGCACAGCAAAGGAAACCATCAACAGAAGAAAAAGGCAGCCTACCAAATGGGAGAAAATATTTGCAAACCATGTATCTGATAAGGGGTTAATATCCAAAATATATAAAGAACTCATACAACTCAACAACAACATATCTAATTACGTATGGATAGAGAATCGATCCATTTTTCCAAAGAAGACATACAGAGGGCCAAGCGGTTCATTAAAAGGTGCTCAGTATCACTAATCACCAGGGAGATGCAAATCAAAATCACAATGAAATATCACTTCATGCTTGTTAGAATGGCTATTATCAAAAAGACAAGAAATAAGTGTTGGCAAAAATGTGGGAAAAACAAGACCCCTAATGCACTTTTGGTAGGAATGCTAATGGATGCAACCACTATGGAAAACAGTATGGAGAGTCCTCAAAACATTACAAACAGATCTATCATTATGATCCAGCAATTCCATTTCTGGGTATTTTTCTGAAAGAAACAACAACATTAACTCAAAGACATACATCTACACCGCCCCCATGTTCATTATACCATTATTTACAATAGCAAAACATCAAAGCAACCTTTAGTGTCCACTGATGAATGAATGGATAAAGAAAATGTAGTATATATAAAATGGGCCATAAGAAAGAAAATACTGCCATTTGCAACAACACGGATGGACCTTGAGGGCATTATGCTAAGTGAATTAGGTCAAGACAGAGAAAGGCAAATACCATATGATCTCACTTATAATGCAGCATCTAAAAATAAATGAACTCATAGATACAAAGAACAGATTGGTGGTTGCCTAGGGTGGGGGGAGTGAAGGGGGGCAAAATGGGTAAAGATCATCAAATGATACAAATGTCCAGTTAGAAAATTAGTAAGTCCCAGGGATATAATGTACCACATGGTGACTATAGTCAATAATATTATATTGTATATTTGAAAGTTGCAAGACAGTAAATCTTAAAAGTGCAGTGATGGATGTTAACTAGACTTACTGTCATAATCATTTCACGATATATACAAATATCAAATCATTACGTTGAACACTTGAAACAAATGTTATATGTCAATTATATCTCAATAAAAAAGTTCAAGTTATGCCAAGGGGCGCCTGGGTGGCTCAGTTGGTTAAGCAACTGACTCTTGATCTCGGCTCAGGTCATGGCCTCATGGTTGGTGAGAATGAGCCCCACATCAGGATCTGTGCTGACAGCACAAAGCCTGCTTGGGATTCTCTCCCTCTCTGTCTCTGCCCCTCCCCTGCTAGCTCGTTCTCATTCTCTCTCAAAATAGATAAATAAATAAACAATTTCTTTTTAAGTTATGCCAAGAGCTGCCTCCAACAAACTCATTCAACATACATACACTGAATTATCATGGTAATCCAGTGCTCACGCTAACCGGTGGAGATGCCAAGTACTCATATCTTATATGTCTTATGTTTCCCGCAGGATCAAGAGCAGAAGTATGTTGCACAGAAGCGTTCAGGAAAGCTGTTCTCAGACAGAATCAGTGAAAATACAACTGCTGTGAGCCGCGGCTGCACTTCACTGCTCACAGCCTCAGGCCATGAAGAGGCCAATAAAGGCTGGAGCCCAAGAACACCAACCCAGATCGAAGGCTTCCTCTCTGGCACCCAGCCATGAAGCTCCTTTTTCCTATCTTGGCCAGCCTCATGCTACAGTACCAGGTGAACACAGGTAATGTGGAATCACGGGATTAAAAGGGGTCGGTGTGAGGAAGCAGGGATTTGGCTGTCCATGACAATGGGAACCCAAGTAATGCTGACAGATGAGATGCCCAAACAGATGGCTGAAGAGTTTGCCTATTGCCTCAGTCATGCACGGCCCCCCATACATCCCCATAGGCCCCAATCCTAGACTCTGCTGATAGGGATATACGCAGAGCTACAGGAAAGCAGGCTGTTTTCTGTGTGTGCTCAGAAACTATCCAACATATAAAGGTTGCCTTCCTGCCCTCTACATAGCTATCATCTGGGACTCAGCCAAGTCTACCTCATTTTTGCTCTATTTCTAATTTAAACCATCTTTTGAAGCAAATGTTCATATCAGTTTATACTCTGGTGTAATACGAAGTCCCTTCCCTTGTGCTCAAAACATCTCCTCTAAGGATCCAGTTAAAAAGGTCTCTTCTCCATCTCAACTTTTTCAGATTTGTAAAGTTTCATCCCTTTTCTCAGGCTTTGTCTTCTCGGAAACTGCCAAATCACTCATCAGGGCATCTAGGAAAGCATTGTGGCAAAATGCTAAACCAGAGGACTGAGTGTTGTTTTTTCGAAAGAAAAGAGAAGCGTTAAGACTTGTTTCAGAATACAAGAATCACCCAGATATTTAGAACAACTGGCAATGGGTCAGGGAAGGGAAAGTGAAAGAGTCAAGATATTTCTAATGTTTTTACCTTGGGACCTTAAGAGAAGTAACATAAGCAGGTATGGCCGTGTTGTCTTGGGTAAAGTCATTTAGCCACTTTGAGCCTCAGATTCCACATGAGTATAGCAGGTTAACCCATGCAGCTGCTTGAAATATACGAAGTTTACTGTTTTGTCTCTGGAGAGAAAGGGTGTTGAAATGTATGTGAACATTAGGTACTACATAAGCCTCTTACTATTTATGGAAAATCAGTTGAATTGGTAAGATTATAGAGCAAGGGAGAACTTTCCTGAGTCAGAAAAAAAGGTGAAGACATTGGGACGGAAAAAAAAAAATCAGGTGAAGATGAGATTCTAAACAAAGCAGAGAATGTAGGGCTATAGATAACCATGTGGGAGTTACCTTGGTAGAGATGAGACTATGGCTATGATTATGAATAAGGGACATCATCTGAGGGACAGAATGTCCAGAGAGGCTGAAAATGATGAACGCTACGCCCGAGGAACCACAGGTCAAGCAAGAGTCAAGGAGAGTGAAGTCATGGACCACTGGGTTTGGCAAGAGGTCAGCTCTCCTGAAAGTCCTATTGCTGTCTTTTGAAATTCTTTCTTGGATTAGCTTTATGACAGATTTTGCTCTTGTAGGTATTTCCTAGGATCAGGAGGAGAGACAGTGAGGCCCTGTAAGTGTCTAAGATACTAAGTGGGGGGTCTAACATCATATCCTGGCGGTGCCTGGGTGGTTCAGTCGGTTAAACGTCTGACTCTTGGTTTCAGCTCAGGTCATAATCTCATGGTTGGTGGGTTCAAGCCCCATAGGGGACTCTGTGCTGACAGCAAGGAGCCTGCTTGGGATTCTCTCTCCCTCCCTCTCTGTCCCTCCCCTGCTCATGCTCTCTCTCTGAAATACATAAACTTTAAAAAATAAATTATAAATAAATAAATAAATAAAATAGTATGCTAAAGCAAAAAGTTGTGTTTCCCTTTTTTCCCTTCCTCTATGTGCCCTAGATTTTTGGATTTCAGGGGTGTACAGAGACTTTCTTAGCCTGCCAGGTACTTTCATCAACATCCCTAAGACTGCATTTAAAACTTAGCATTAGGGGCGCCTGGGTGGCGCAGTCGGTTAAGCGTCCGACTTCAGCCAGGTCACGATCTCGCGGTCCGTGAGTTCGAGCCCCGCGTCGGGGTCTGTGTCTCCCTCTCTCTCTGCCCCTCCCCCGTTCATGCTCTGTCTCTCTCTGTCCCAAAAATAATAAATAAACGTTAAAAAAAAAAATAAAAAAACAAAAACAAAACAAAAAAAAACTTAGCATTAATAGGGGCACCTGGGTGGCTCAGTCGGTTAAGTGGCCGACCTCGGCTCAGGTCATGATCTTATGGTGCATGAGTCCAAGCCCTGCGTTGGGGTTCTGTGCTGATAGCTCGGAGTCGGAAGCCTGCTTTGGATTCTGTGTCTCCCTCTCTCTCTGTCCCTCCCTTGCTCACAGTCTGTCTCTCTCTCCCAAAAATAATAAAATAAAACATTTTTTTAAAAAACTTAGCATTAATAAACAACCTCTTACTCTATTCCTCTCCCTCCATCAGTCTTAATATCATATTAACCTTAGCTCAATGGTTTCTTCTTTTCTTTGTGCAGAGTACTTTGGCTTGAGAAGATGTCTAATGGGTTTTGGGAGATGCAAAGACTACTGTGCCGTGGGTGAAACGGAGATACAGAAATGCAAGAAGAGGAAATGTTGCATTGGACAGAAAGTGGTTCAAATGATAAAAAACTACATGCAAAATGAAATGTCCCACACACTTGAAGGGAACTCCCAAGAACACCTACAAGTTACCAAGAATTCTGATGCTTCGATCCAAACAAAATACCAAATTTTATCTCTTCTCCCCAGAACCAAAAGCATCAGCCCTTTTGCCAACGTCCACCCCCTCCTCATCCCAAATGCCACCACTGTAAACTCAGCCATCACCAACCCTACAACCTCATGCAAGATCACATACACTACAATTTCTGCCAAGAACGACACCACAGAAAGCAGAGATTTGGCCACTGACTCCTCACCACCAGCACCACCGCCACAGACACTCTCAACACCAGGACTGGAACCGGAGGAAGCAGATGACCAGAGGAGTCTTTCCCTTAAAACACCAGGTTCCTCTCCATCTTTGCTGGCTGTAAAATGAAACACAGGACTGTTTCCTCAGTCATTAGTCATTCAATAAATACCGTTCAATCACCTACAGTTTACATAATGTTATCGTTCTCACAGAAACCTCACAGAGGAAACAGAGCTAGAGAGGAATGGAATTTTAGTTTGCACGCCCGGGAGAAAGTGAGCACTGAACTTGGCTCACGGATAGCCCAGATTAGGCCTCTGTAACAAGGATTTATGGTTCTCATCTAATGCGCCTTTCTTGAGGTAACAGGACAAAAAATATATATATATCGTCATTATTTTCTTTTTTCATAGGTTTTTTAGAAAAGGCCCATATGCAAGACAGAATGTGGGCAGACTAAGTCTACCTTCCCCGCAGAAGAACATAACTAATTCATGGAGCCATTAAAATTTTTTTTAATGTTTTTTTTTTTATTTTTTTATTTTTGAGACAGAGAAAGAGCATGAACGGGTGAGGGTCAGAGAGAGGGACACACAGAATCTGAAGCAGGCTCCAGGCTCTGAGCTGTCAGCACAGAGCTCATGGTGCCATTTAAGATAAAAATCTGGGGGAACAGGGGAAGGGAGGACGGCTAAGGGAGAAGGTGTAGGACTTCCACCTCTGGGCCAAGACATTTCAACAAGATTCCCAATGGGGACGGACAACAGGCGATAGGCAGAGTGGTGCCTCCAACAGATGGCAGACCACAGATGCAAACCATGTAGGTAATCGAGAATTTTCTAATAGCTCCATTTGAAAAAACTGGGGCGCCTGGGTGGCGCAGTCGGTTAAACGTCCGACTTCAGCCAGGTCACGATCTCGCGGTCCGTGAGTTCGAGCCCCGCGTCGGGCTCTGGGCTGATGGCTCAGAGCCTGGAGCCTGTTTCCGATTCTGTGTCTCCCTCTCTCTCTGCCCCTCCCCCGTTCATGCTCTGTCTCTCTCTGTCCCAAAAATAAAAAAAATAAAAACGTTGAAAAAAAAAATGAAAAAGTTAAAAGAAATAGATGAAATGAATATTAATAATACATTTTATCGACCACAGTAAATCTAAAACATTATCATTTCAACATAAAAATCAATATAAAAATGATCTGAGACGTTTTGTATTCTTTTTTTTTCTTTTTTTTACTAAGTCCTTGACATCTCATATGTACATTACCATTACAGCACATTTCAATCCATACTGGCCACATTCCAAGTGCTCAAGAGTCCCATGGCAACCGTACTGGACAGCATCAGGTTAGAGAGTTTCGAGGGCACAGACTAGTAGCTACAGAACTGTTAAGCGAAAGGGGATGGTCCTACTCAGAAGACAGTGATGTTTCTGAGGGCTGTGGTAGAGCATGTAAGAAATTCAGATCTGATGCTCTTGAGCTAGCATTCTAGTTCCAGCACTTTTTAGCTGTTTGGCTTTGAACAGATCACTTATCCCTATACGAGCATCTGTTCAACCATTCACAAAATACAGATGTAAACGTCACATTACATCCCAGAATCTACTTCCTTCGATCCCAGTCACACTCCCTTCCTCTTATTGCCCAAATTACAATGGCACAGTCCCCTGCTCCAGGTCTGCAGCATGTTCCTCTCCGCTACCTAGCACCTCCTTCAATTTAAAGGCCACTTTTCCTGGGGCGCCTGCGCGGCTCAGTCAGTTAAAGCATCTGGCTTTAGTTCAGGTCATGATCTCAGTTTGAGTTCAAGCTCTGCATCGGGGCTGTCAGCACAGAGCCTGCTTCAGATCCTCTGTCCCCTTCTCTCTGCCCCTCCCCAGCTTGTGCTCTCTCTTTCTCGAAAATAAATAAACATTGAAAGCTGAAAGCTCAGAGCCTGGATCCTGCTTCCGATTCTGTGTATCCCTCTCTCTCTCTATCTGCCCGTCTCCCGCTGGTACTCTGTCTCTCTGTCTCAAAAACAAATAAAAAACATTAAAAAAAATTTTTTTAAAGATAAGGAAAAATATAAAACCCAACCTCATGGCTTATGGGTTATTTTGGTCTTGTAAGGATCTGTTTCTTTATATTTCAAATAATGACATTAGAATAGAGTTGTATTGTTGAAGTTCACGTATTAAATTGTTCTCAAAATCGGGGCACCTCGTTGTGTCCGACTCTTGGTTTCAGCTCAGGTCATGATCTCACGGTCTGTGGGTTCAAGCCCCACATCGGGCTCCACGCTGACAGCGCAAAGCCTGCTTGGGATTCTCTCTTCCCTCTCTCAAAATAAACTTTAAAAAAAGTTTTAATAAATAAAAAATAAATTATTCTCAAAATCGTGTATATGTAGATTACATCTGTGAGTTTTTGTTTTTTTTTTTTTTTTTTCAACGTTTATTTATTTTTTTTGGGACAGAGAGAGACAGAGCATGAACGGGGGAGGGGCAGAGAGAGAGGGAGACACAGAATCGGAAACAGGCTCCAGGCTCTGAGCCATCAGCCCAGAGCCTGACGCGGGGCTCGAACTCACGGACCGCGAGATCGTGACCTGGCTGAAGTCGGACGCTTAACCGACTGCGCCACCCAGGCGCCCCACATCTGTGAGTTTTAAAGAAAAATAATCACCCTTTCATATTAATTAGTTAACCTAGAATGTAAATTGGGTATGATTAAGCTACATTAATTTCTTTTTTATTTTTTTTTATGTTTATTTATTTTTGAGAGAGAGACAGAGACAGAGTGTATAGACGATGAGTGTCAGAGGAAATCTTTGCTACCAGAGCACCCCTCCTCATCCCCACCCCCCCCCCCACATCCCCTATCTCAGCTCCCATCCCCCACCCCTATCGGGGCAGATTATCTCCTCTTGCTCGTTGCCCTGCTCTCTCATCCAGGCGATCTAGGAGTCTGCAAGCCTACAACCAGTTAACTATTAACCAATCCTTGTTAAATGTAGACTAATCAGCAAAGGAATATGTAAAGAAAATCGGCTGCTGGTTCCATTAGGAACTGAATAGTCACTGTTTTCTGAGTCTAGCTCTCCCTCTGTCTCCCAGACCAAATCATCTTCTGACTCCTTCAATCAAACAACCTCCTCCCCCTGACCACCAGCTGGGTACACAAACTCACGCCTCACTTATTTTTTTTATTGAAATTGGCCTGGCCAAAGTGAATGGTGTAGCACGTGGCTCCAGCTGGACCAGTCAGAATTCTCTCCCGGGATATTTCCATTTGGAACCAGGATCTTGTCTCAGGACCTCATCCTGCAAAGGAATGAATCTGGGGCTGCTTTCGGCCACATTCTCTATCACACAGAGAATTCTGTCCGCAGAACAAGATGAACACCCAGAGAGAAGCATATGGATAGAGAAGCTTGATGACATTGGAATCACTGGACCAGGCTTGCTTGAAGCAGCCACATTTCTAGACACCTCAGAAATTTGGGTGGATAAATGTCTTTTTGTGCCTAAATTGGTTTGAGTTGGTTTTCTATTACAAATTATCCCTGTCTCCATATTTAGTCAGAGAGGTTAATCTGTGGTGTTCACTGCTTAACACACAAACTAATACATTCCACAAGGCTATGCCTGTTTCATATGATGAACCCAAGGATTTGGAATATAAAGTTGGAACCTTCAATTCAATCACTAAGAAACTCCATGAGACAGACATTTCCGCCAGTGATTGGCTGAAATGCCTTGGTGATGGCACATAGAGTTCAAATTGGGCTAACCAACAACCTAGGGTCAAATCTAGAAGACTAAGAGTCTGGATGTCTATGTCCCCTCAAAATTCACATCTCAGGAGAGCCTGGGTGACTCAGTTGGTTAAGCGGCCAACTTTGGCTCAAGTCACAATCTTGCGGTTTGTGGGTTCAAGCCCCACATCAGGCTCTCTGCTGTCAGTGAGGAGCCTGCTTCAGATCCTCTGTTTTCCTCTCTCTATTCCCTTCCCCCTGCCTCTCTCTCTCTCTCTCCCAACAATAAATAAACATTTTTTAAAAATTCACATGTTGAGGGGTGCCTGGCTGGCTCAGTCAGTGGAGCATGCAACTCTTGATCTCAGGGTTGTGGGTTTGAGCCCCACGTTGGGTGTAGAGATTGCTTAAAAATGAAATCTTAAAAAAAAAAATTTGTATGTTGAAATCATACCCCCCAATGTGATTGTATTTGGAGGTGGGCCTTTGGGAATGGGATTAGTAACCTTACAAAAGAGACCCCAGAGAGCTCGGTCACCCCTTCTAACATGTGAAGATGCAGTGAGAAGACAGCTGTCCATGAACCAGAAAGCAGGCCCTCATGAGACCCTGAATTTGCCAGAGCCTTGATTTTGGCTTTCCCAGCCTCCAGAAATGAGAAATAAATGTCTGTTGTTTATAAACTTCCTGTTCTACGTTACTCTATGATAGTGCCCCAAACACAGTAAGACACCTGCTCAGTGATCCCACAATTGGCAAGTAGAGAGTAAAGAACTGAGTGGACAGACGGCTGGTGGGGTGCCTAGAGAAAGTGACCTAGGCACAAGGATGGCTACTTCAATTCAGCCAGGCCTGAGACGTTATCACCCGAGACATAGCATGCCTGCACCCTTTCATCACACATATGGTAGTGGACCTCAAAAAGATGTATTCCTCACATGACAGAATGAGAAAGTCACCAATATGCACCAATATGCAGTCCCAAATGAAACAATTGATTCAGATTAAGAGTCGTAACTATGGGGCGCCTGGGTGGCGCAGTCGGTTAAGCGTCCGACTTCAGCCAGGTCACGATCTCGCGGTCCGTGAGTTCGAGCCCCGCGTCAGGCTCTGGGCTGATGGCTCGGAGCCTGGAGCCTGTTTCCGATTCTGTGTCTCCCTCTCTCTCTGCCCCTCCCCCGTTCATGCTCTGTCTCTCTCTGTCCCAAAAATAAATAAAAACGTTGAAAAAAAAAATTTTAGAAGAGTCGTAACTGGATACTTAAAAAATTAGGTGAAATGTTGATGGAGAACTAGGTACTCGCTTGGTGTCAAAGTTTTACAGAGAGCCACAGATTATTAGCCAGTGACAGAGGGGGAGCTGTGACGTTAGAAGGCAGAGGTCTGGCAGCAC